TCACTGAAAAAACTAGCAGAGCTGCACGATACAAACCTTCAGTAAAACTTTGTTGTGTTGTTTTTTGTAGTGAAACAGACTTTGACAACAACAATACGTAGAGAGCAACAGAGGAGGAGGAAGCCATGTGAAAAGCGTTGGCAATGGCTGCCTTGTACCGGCAATGTACATCTGGCGAGTCAGATTAATGCATATAAATGTATATTTTGAAAAAAAAAAAAAAAAGTACCATTTGAGGTCTGTCATGCTAAGCCTGAGCTTTAAATCACTTTCTGTCTAACACAAGACACGCCGGTTACAGCCGCAGGCCCAAACCAGTGTGTCCGTCTGTCATCTGTGCTCGTGGTGGGTTTACATATGTGGACATTTATGTTTGCAGCTGTAAACTCAGAGCTGCCGTGCACATAAACACACTGGCCCGCTGAACATTCTGGTGTCTGGCTTCAGACTCTGTTTCACAAGTTTGTGCAGTCGCTAACAGGTCTGCAAGCTGGAAAGTTAATCAGTGGAATGAGCATTTAGGTAATCGGGGGAGTCTGGTTCACCGATGCTGAGCTACTGCCTAATGTGATGCTGCAGGTGGTACGCTGGGCTCTGAGTGTCAGGCCAGGAGCAGGAGGTGTCTGGAGGTGTTGAGCTTTGAGGAGAGGCCAGATTTGAATAATGTGTTTACCAGTTGTTAGCAATTCGTGCACCTTTAACGAAATTGTGTGCACTAGAATGCAGAAAATGTTGTACATAAGAGATATATTAATCAATGTTCAATCACTTTTCCACACTGGTACTGAAACCGAACAAGAGAGAATACATAAAGAATTGGGTTAACGTCTGCCTTCTCCAACTGCTTTGTGTAGCTGCTGCATGCAAGTCAATATTTATGCATGCATGTGTACATACTGTATGTTTGCACTCACTGCGGTTGAATAAGTGGCCCTTGAAGACCGAATTTTCTTACCGTCTGGTTGTCCTCGTAGAGTTTGAGGTCATAGCCACTTAGCTCAACACAGAAAATGATTGCAGTCACGCCCTCGAAACAATGAATCCACTTCTTCCTCTCCGAGCGCTGTCCACCCACATCTACCATCTTGAAGGTGAGCTCCTTGAAGGTGAACTTGTTCTCCACGATGCCGGTGGTCATGTCACGGGATCGTAGAATGTCCTCTACAGTAGGGATGTACTCAGGCGCGGAGATGCGGTCCAGGTCGTTCAGGTAGTAGGCAGTGTTGTCCTCTAAGTGGTATTCATTGGATCGTTGAAAGCACTCCTGGACCCCTGAGTCTGCCCACAGACGTTTCATTACTCCCAGCAACTCTGGAGTGATCTCCCCCTTGCTCTCAGCAGGGCCTGTGAGGGCAAAGAGCTGCACGGCGTCGTAGGCGCGGTCCGGATTGTGAAAGTCAATCTTAAGGGTGGTGAGGGCACGGATGATGCGGGTGAGAGAGTCGATGGCATTGTACAGGATGAGAGGCTTGTACTCCTTGCAGGCTTCCAGGTTGAAGCCCCCACTGTGTATGATTTTCATCTGCTTGACGATGGTGCTCTTGCCAGAGTTGCTGGTGCCCAGCAACAATAGCTTGATCTCACGCCGCTGCCGCTGACTCTCTGAGCGCAGGTGGCGGTCGATTCGCCGAGAGCGCCGCGCTGCTTCCTTCTCCTCCGAGCTCTGACGGCATCCCATGGTCCTCCACCACGTGGTAAGCGCAAAGGAACTCGTGCTGCTGCTTGATGGGAGAGCAATTTATAATGAAGTGGTGACTGAAATGGAGCTGGTGGAAGAGTTGGAGAGGGTTTCTGTGAGTACGAGCTAGCAGGGCAGGAGGCGGACAGAACTTCACAAGAGGCCAATTTAACACTGGACTGGAAAGCCACCTCACAGAGGAGTGACTCAGGAGTATTTCATTCTTTTTGTTCAGGGGCAGTCTGTGAGTTCTGTGTGGGCAGAACCCAGACTTGTGGGATGCCCACACAGCGCCTGGCACTGAGGTTTGACTGCCTGCTGAAGCCAATGGAGCTGGGGTTCATAGCAGGGGCTCCCCCTGAGGATCAGCTCTGGAGTACGTCAGTAGAGGAAGAGTTTGGGCTTGATGCGTGCGAATAGCAAACCCTCCTCACTCTCCTCCCACATGGCTCTAGTGGTGTGTTGCCCTTGTTTGGCTTCTGCAACAATCCACCTCAGCTCGATATTTGGCCTGCTTGACTTGATCTTCTTGATGTAGTTTTTTCTGCTTCTTCTGTGGTGAGATATCTCCCAGACAACTGAAGGCCTCCGATTCTGCCAAAACATAAGACGGAGAAGAGGCATGAAAAACAGGTTTAGGACAAACAGGAGCAGTTTTATCACTTTTAGCTCGGTCATTAACCTCTGTTTTACAAAAATAGTTTGGAATTTATCGAGTTCTCTCCGAGGGTTGGAAGGAAATCGATGTCGTTCTTACGTCGGTGTATTAAGTGTTAAGATTGGTTCGCCTTCTTTCGGCACAACTAATTAACAAGTATTTGTCTGATCAATACTCAAAGAGGTGAAAGTGACTGAATGGTTTCACAACTGAAGACGTGCAGTCCGACCATTTCAGGATTGAAGTGTGTTTATAGTGGAAAGTCAGCCACTGTACAAGGAGGTCTAACAGACTACAATGCACAGCTGACTTAGCGAGTTGTGTTTTAAATGTTGGATTGTTACTTTCAGAAAGTTACACCAAATGGTCAACACATTAGTTTCCCGTCCAACACTGAGAAGAAGTGGGCGGTAGATGATCTGGCATGCAGTTATGGTCAGGGGCACAGGCGTGCTTGGTGGATGGGTAAAATGTTATTTTTGCACCAGAAGAGTTTAAGCGAAGAAGACATGATGCATCAGAGTGAGCTTTACAGGTGGTGGTAGGTGTATTTCAGAACTGTTTGCCACTGCTCTTAGTCTTTATAGATGTTTTCAGACAAGAGATACGGTTCCTATGTTGGCTTCATCAGTCTCTCATAGCGATACCTCATGTAAACGGTAGTGTTCCTTCACTGAGGCAGGTCTTTATTTATCATAGGTAACTAACATTTTACTGCAAAATGTTAGTTATTCTGTACACCACTGGACCTGGAGACATAGTCTATCTCCTCGTGTACATGTCTGAATGACAACACGCTGAAGTGAACTGAACTGAGTATTCCCATGACAGTGATGGAGAGCGCCTCAGTATGAGCATTTGCCGTCCGTGCGAGATTATACAGCACACTGAGTGAAATATAACGCATGAGGTCAGACTTTTCCAGACATTTTTGCTCAAGAGTCCAGCAAACCGGTTCTTCATTGCGGTCTCACTGGCAGCTTATGCTAGGATTAGGTCCCAGCCCAACAATTCCTAGACAGTCGCCTCTCCTTCTAAACCCAACAACGTCCAGCGTCAGCATGCTGCTGCTTTGTGCGCATGCCTTTCCTTTAAAGCAACGAGGTTCAGACCTGAGCCGTGTTGAAAGAGATACGGAAATGTTGCTCGGATCCAACCTACTAAGACTGCGACCTTTGCAGGAAAGGTGACCGGGGGGTGAAGCCGACACGGTGAGATTAATGGCAAGGAGTGCATGTCTGAAAGGGGCTCGTGCTAAGCTAGGCTAATTGCCTCTCGGCTCTAATTCCACGGCGAACACACAAACATGACAGCGATATAAATCTTCTCATCTCACTCTTGGAAAGAAAACAAATTAGCCGAACTATTAGAGAGGAAACAACTAAACACCAAATGTAATACCGTCTTCATCAAACAGAAAGCGACTAATGAGGCAGTGAAAGCACACACAGTCATACTGACATGCACACTTCCCATTCAGCCATGTCGTCCATATTCTGTGTACATTTCCACTTGAGGTTTCGCCTCCTAAAAGTCACACACACACACACACACACACACACACACAGCAGCTCTCTCCGTCTGCAGTCCTGTGTTACCATAGACTCTGAGCCAAAGTAGATGTTAGCTAACCACGCCCACCCATTTAACACCACCACACACACACAGACTCATTATATACACAATCAAGGTCAAACATACGGAGAGAAACAGGCCGAGAAAAGAAAACAGAGCCACTGTTTGAAAGGAAAGTGATGCAGTATAAACAAGATGAATGCGACTCGTTGCGACCAAAAGCATCTTCTGCTGTTCATCCTACGACCCGGCGCCTCTGACTGCTCCACTTTTTTGGTCTGTCCTACGCTGCTGTTCTGCAAAATTGCTTTTTTTTCCTTTTTTTTTTTTTTTTTACTATCACAGTGGAAAATAACAGGCTGAAGCCAGCAGGTGCCTCTCATGCTTTCATGCCTCTGTAAAGCTCCCTCTGCTCGCCCAGACATCTGTGCTGCTATCCTTCGAATTCTACATTGTGATCAGAAGATGAATACAAATATTTCTGGGATTTTTTTTTTGTTCTCATTCTGCTGCAACACACGAGCTGTCCAGGAGGCACCATTTTTTTGCTTAAAGCTAAGTTGCATGAATAAAAAAATAAAATTCTATTTTATAGTGGGGCTAGATTTGAAAGCCAGTTTGGAAGAGTGAAGCCCTGTGAGATTGTGCGAAAGATGCACATTGAAACAGGCTATATGCTATTGGCTGAGTAACAAATGTGAAATCATGCTGTGGCCTAGTTTGGTTGGCGAAACTATACTCTGTAGACCTGTCAGATACAGAGAGAGTGTTTCTCAGAGCACGGCGAGTGAGGTCCACTCTTCAAAAGACTGTGAGGACAAACAGAGCAGAACAAAGCCATAACAAAGCATCACAACACATACAGAGTGGAGAGCATTGTTTCCTGGCTGCAGGCACCTGACTACGCTCTCAAAATGGCATAGCCAGCCAAACCGGTTAATGCACATCACTGATTCCGAGAGCCTATGAAACACATTAAAGCTGCGTGTGAAGTCGTTTCAATTTGCTATTTCAGAAATATGCAGCCACATGCATTTCTGCACTTTTTGAAGTTACACCACTTCCTTGATAATTGCCATGAAAGCGGTGCGCCCGGCAGTACAGATCCACTGTATGTTATTATCACATTAAATTCATATAAATAACACCGCGTCGCTTTTGTAGAGGAGAACGCGGCCTGTTTCTTACCTACACCACCGTAACTGGAGCACAACACAGCGGGTATGAAATGAGTGCAACTTTGAAAGTTTTAACGTAAAGTAAACAAAAATTAATTAAGAAAGTGCCCGCAGGATGAAAACATGCTTAGTCTTCGTAACAAATTACATCGTGCCAATGCAGGCGGCATTGCGAATAACAAACTGTCCAAGAAAATACATCTCCGTGGCAGGATTCAACATGACGCCTGCATTTTAACTCTATTACAACATATTTTAAGGCTTATCTGCCCTGTTTAGTTTCATCTGTCCTGTGCATAGGTTTCAGTAAGTTTAAGCTCCATCATGCAGAATCATCAGGGAGGAGCCTAATTGGCCTTTGATTTATTCTGCAGCGCTACAGCAGCCCCTAAACCTGCAGCCAACAGATGGTGTGTGGCCTCCACGGAGCCCTGATCTCAACATCACGGAGTCAGTCTGCAATTACTACAACCTCAGGAAGACAATGCCAAAGTGTGGGGGAAAAAAATGCAGTTCCTCTAAATGGCCACTAGAGGCTGGCTCCAAAAGTGAGCCAATCCCCATAGACATCCATGTTAACACGTTTAACTTTACAGCAGAAATAAATGTGTTTACAGCCAAGAACAAAAAATGTAGGAACTAAAAACATATAGGTAGTTTCACTAACAACTGTACAGGAGTGATTTTTTAAAATATAACTCACCAGTTTGAACTAATCAGGGCTTAAAGTTAGGATCAATTAAGGGTGTGGCTGCTTTGAGTGACAGCTCAGCACCGTCATATGCATGCTCCACCTCAGCTCCATTCACACTTAATGTCTTTTGGCATTCGTCCAAAGTTGTGCTACGACGATGGCGTCGTCCTGAGCTACCACGCTGGGCTTCAAAGCCGCTGCAGGTGGCGTCACGTAGAGTTTACTCATCTTAATCTACAGTCTATGGGAATTACATGAGTGCAACTGATAGGCAGCCTAAACCTGCTGAAGAACTGTGGCAAGCTCTTGGGGGTTATTGAAACAAACCACCTGCCAAGTGAAAAGTAAACCGAGCGCACTGATGCTGTTTTATGGTAGCGAATAGGGTGGTGGCAACGTATGCTGATTTGATTCGTTATATTTTTAAAGCATTTCTTGCACTTCTTTTGCTGCCTTGCACTGTCCATCAGACCGTCTTCCAAAAAAGGAGTGCTACGAGGACGGCCAGAGAGCGAGTGAGTAGCGGCGGAGTGGAGGCAGAGTGATGAGTGAAGGCAGAGCCACAGGGGCCACGCCGAGAGGCCAGCATCTCCATGCATCATGAGGGCCGAGGAAATTTGATAGCCGACATGAGACCGAGCCTGGTCACTCTCCAGCCTTTTCCTCCACACCTCCTGCTGCTGCACACGGCCCATCAGCCTCCCCCCCACCACCGCCTCCATCACGCTCCCCGGTGCTTACCTCCTATTATTAATTCACCGCGCTGCAAATAATTACAATCGCATCCTTTATTAGAGGCGAGCACATGTCATGTCGCCGCACTGTGTTTCTGTTGTATAACCTCCTCTGCTGTCCTGCTGAGGCTGTTTAGTCTGCAAAAATGCTATTAAAATTAGGGTCAATCACATTAGATTGAGTGCTGATTTTAATCCATTAGAGGTTGAATGTTATTGCTCAGACGCAAAATTTGTTGGAAGAAAAATGCAGCCTGCAGAAAGCGTGCTAGCTCGGACAAACGTGAAGGCGCATATGTTGAAATCTCACATCGCCGTTCAGACTCTCCCAGGGACTGTGGGGATGTTGAAATAGCCTCGTCTAGATTTCTAGCAAAACGTGTGTTACAGTACAAGTGTTCAGGTGTCAAAATCAATCCCAGCAAGCTGCTGAAAACATGTGATTTAAATTAAATGAAATTGCACCACCGATTATGTAAAAAGAATGGAAGAAAACGCAGGGAGTGGTCTGGCCCAGTGCTGCGATGTGTGATGATGAGATTTACAGATGCAGGAGAGTCCTGCTCATTGTTCCGGAGAGGCAGAGGAGCAGAAAACCTATTATTTCTATGAATGGGAAGGAAAAGTGCGCATTGTGAAAAGAAAGGTGAAAGGCATAGGTGTGCTTTTAGTCATCTCGTGATGGTTTATGAATGAGGCGTGCAGGTGTGCGTGTCGTGGTCACCGGGCTTGCGTTTCACCAGGGATCGGATTGA